TCTTTCTTTATATATATATATATATATATAAAGTGAGATTTGTTTATTCAAAGAGTAAGTCTAGGTAGACTTACTTTGTTCAATAACTCATGTTTTACATCAAATTTCAATGATCCAATCGTTGAATTTAAAGTTCTTAATGCATAGATCAAATCTGCAAATTTTTAGAAAATTTGAAAATCATTTGATACTTCATTTCATTAATTCAAATCAATTTATAAAATAATTTTATAATTATCCGTCAATTTGAATTAGTGAAATAAAGTATCAAATGATTTTCAATTTTTTTTATAAAATTGCATATTTGATTTATGTATTAAGAACTTTAAATTCAACGGTGTTAGATCATTGAAATTTGATGTATAATATGAGTTATTGAATAGAATAAGTATAGGTAGAGTTACTCTTGAAATAAATGAATCCCTTATATATATATATATATTTCATTTCACTCGATTAAAAGTGTGGTGTAATAACAACATAAGTGAGACAATTTTGTCAACAAAATCATGACGTTCTTAGGGATGTAAGCGAGTATGGATAACCCACGAAAACCCAAATTGATCCAATGAGTTCAAATTATATTTTTTCAGTATTTAGATCAAACTTAACTCAACTCGATCAAAATCCAATACTATACGAGTCGAGTAACAAATTTTACGTTTTCAACCCGTGACCTAACCCGACTCGATCATATAATAATAATAATAATAATAATAATAATAATAATAGTGTTTGAATGATCAATTGTTCAGAATAATACTCACTTTTACTTTTACTTAATACGAGTTTTCTGTTTTAGATTGATAACATTGTAACAATATAATATTTATTTTAAATTTTATTTTGCAATAATTAATGTTAGTTTTTTGAGTTGATAATAGTGTAATAAATTAATAAATTCATTTTAGAATTTAATTTGTATCATTATTTGTTTTATAGGTTGATAACATAGTATTTGGAACAATGTATCATTATCAAATAATTTACATATATTTTGAAATATTTAAATTTTTACAAGAAATAAATAAATTTAATTATACTAATCCGATTAACCCAACTCAACTCAATTTGTTCGTGATTGAATTGGGTAGGACAAAGCTTTTTTTTTAAATTATTTAAATTCGACCCGACTCAACCTATTAAATTTTGATTGGATCGAGTAATAGATTCATTCAAACTCAGTCCAATCTGATCCACTTACACTCATAGACGTGCTTGTTAAACTTTTCCTTCTTTTCAATTTCGTATTCCGAAAGAAAATATGATAAGTATTATGACATTTGAGTATTTTATTTTTTAAAAAGATGCATTGACTATCTTATTTGATTTTCCCAAGAGTTACAATTATTAATATTATCACTTTGTTTCCTTCAAAAAAAAATTACGACTTTGTTACAATTGCATGCAGCATGTTCTTTAAAAAAAATTATTGAATTGTTTGATACAGATATATTCTTGTCATCAAAGAAAAATAATATACAAGCTGGAAAAACGACAAATCTATAATTATATTATATTACATCTAAATTTATTAAAACACCGGATATATTCATTTGTTTTTTCCTTTTGATTCTAATTGAGTTTGCCATCATAATTAACTGCAGTAAAATTTTGCAAAACTTAGAAGGAAAACAATTCTAATCCATTTCCTGAAACTTCGGTTAAAAGATAAACCAAAAAATCAAATATCTTCTTTTAAGTACGAGATTGATGCGAGTTTATGTGATTTTAGTTTATTATGACGAGATTGTGATTTAATAAACTAGATGTTACACTGCATTAGTGATATTTAATATTATTTTTAGTGATAATAAAAATGGTTATTTTTACATGTTGATATCATTGTATATAATGTCAGCAAAATATTTATTGGCATAAAAAAATATATATAAATTTTTGTGATATTTTTTATTAGCATTTAATATTTTTTGTTTTTATCACTAAAAAAAAAAAAAAAAATGATTTATAACTTAATTATACACTTTTTAATTAATTTTATCTCTAGTTGATATGAGACTTGTAAGATGAAGGTTATTCTCTACTTATACATTTTCTTATTTTTCTTATTTTTAGTCAACGTGTGATTTGAGTTTTTCTTTAAAAAATGATTCCTAACAACTTATATATATTTTTAATTATCTTATCTTTTAAGAGATATAAGACTTATAAGGTGATGATTGCTCTCTACTTACATATTTTTTATGTGTTTTATCATAGTTGATACGAGACTTGTTTTGTTTTCAATACACCCCCTCAAATTTAGCACTTGAGTTTGGTAATGATGGGTGATCTAATATCAACTTAGAATAGTGAATTATGGTTCTAATTCAACCCAATAAAACTAACTTCTAAAGTAAGAGTATCATTAATATACTCTTTAATTATTTTATCTTTAGTTAATGTAAGACTTAAATTTTTTTTAATAAATAATTGTCATTAACGGTAATTTTGATGTGATATAAATACATTTTAATGATTATTATATATTTGTCATTAATATTTTTATTAGATAATAAAATAAAAAAATTAATGTATTATCATTAAATAATTATATTAATAAAAAAATTTATGTAGTGTTAAGTCACGTTATTGTCTACTTGCAGAAGGATGACTCTCAATGTAGTTGTCGATTTTTATTAACGTAATATTTACATAACCATGTTTATTTTTAGACACTCAATGTACTATTCAAGTAATATCTTGTGAGAAAAAGAAAAGGAAAATATAGATATGATGAATAATAAGATAGAATTGAAAAGAAATAAGTAGAGAGAAATAAAAGATGTTAGATGTGTTGATCTAAATATCATTACTCACATTTATTTATTTATATATATATATTATATATAACTTCTTAAAGTGAGAGTTAAATGTAAACCCGTGTGACGTGCGTATTCCATGAGCAAGCAAAACGCAAAAATATGAATTAAAGACGATAAACGTAGAGAAGAAAAATATGTATATGGTGAAGGATTAATTCAAGAGCAAACGACGTCGCTGAAGACATCATGATCAGTGGCAGTGGCACCCCCTAAGCGTTAAGCAGCGGAAACTTTAGCCTGAAGATGAAGTTCACAGTTCTTGCTCATTTCACAAAGCCAACCACGAGAAGACAATGCCTTCTCTCCGCTCACTTTCACCTCCTTCACTTTCTTCCTCATAGCACCACCCTCTGAACCCACCATCACTCTTCTCACCAACTCCGCCACCTGTTCCCGCCGCACTACTCCGCCCTCCTCCGACGCCACCCGCACCGCCACCCCCAGCTCCCCCGACAGCATAAAAGCGTTCATCAGCTGCTCCGCGTAAAGGGGCCACGCCACCATGGGAACGCCGTTCAGGACACTCTCCAAAACGGAATTCCAACCACAGTGCGTCACGAAACCACCCGTCGCAGGATGTCCAAGTATCTCAGCCTGCGGGGCCCACATCGGGACCACAAACCCCACATTTTCTGTCCTTTTCACAAACCCTTCCGGTAAGTAACCAACCGCCACGTCACCACCGCTCGCCACGTCGAAAAACGAGCCACTGGCGTCTTCGTTGGGCGGCCGCACCACCCAAACAAACCTCTGCTGACTCAGCTCCAACCCAAACGCCACCTCCCTCATTTGCTCCTCCGACAGGGTCCCACCGCTCCCGAACGACAAGTAGATAACCGACTCACCCGGTTGCCGGTCCAGCCAACGCAAAACCTCGTGCTCCTGTTTCCTCTCTACGGTTCTCACCAACGGTCCAACCGGATACACGAACCGCCCCAAACTCCCATGCTCCCTAACCGCCTTGGTGGCAGCAGGCTCCAGATCTTGCCACGTGTTGATCAGGATCCCGTCCGCGGTTACAATCGCCTTCGCTGCTTCGAGGTAACCCTCGTACACGTCCCCTCCCGGAAACAAAAACGGTTCGAGCGTGTCCTCGAACCGAAGCGGTTCGCAACCCGGAACCAGAAGCGGTTCGTGATTCTGGGCGTGGCTCTCCATCGTTTTTTTATCCATGAAGGGAAAGTATAGAGTAACCGCGGAGAACCATGCGCTGGTGGCGAAGAAGACGTAGGTGAGCATGGCGAGGTCACGTGCCATGGGAAAAGCGACGAGGCCGAACATGTCTACGATGAGAGATGAAGGAGGAGGGTTGTTCATGGATAAGATGGAGGAGCGTAGAAAGGGTATGGACTCCATCATGGTTAGCGTTATTCGTGTGGCTAAAGGTGGGTTGGGTGGGAGCTTGTGGGAGACGTCGATGGGAGGGACTTGGACGATGTTGAGGGAGTTTAGGTTTGATGTTTGGTGGAGAAGCTGAGTTGTGGTGGAGGAATCGGTGGTGACGACGAAGAGGGTGACGTGGAAGCCGTGGTGAGTGAGGAGGCGCTTCCCTAGCTCCACCATGGGGATCAAGTGGCCCATGCCGGGGCTGGCCAAAAGTGCTGCATGTGGCTTTGTTGTTACCATCTCTGCACTTCCTTCCTTCCTTTCTTTCTGCTCTTTTCTTAGACCAAGAGAGTTTTTTATGGACCGACAAAACCCTCTATACCATTCATGCGCTTCCTTTTCTAGACTAAATAAATGCCAAATGAAACAAAATTTAATTATATATTTTTTTAAATATAATTAAATTAAATTAATAATAAATGCTCATTAATCTCGTTTACTAAATTACTTGTCACAAAATTCAAAACCAATTTGTTATGGATAGGCCGTAGCTAGGGACCTCACTTGGAAGTTTATTTTCTGTAAATATTTTTTTTAATATAATATAAATTTAAATAACATTTTCTAATAAAAAGGAAAAAGGGTAATTAATATCTTATCAATTTTATTGAGTTCTATATATTAAATTCAAACTTTTCTTGTATCAAAGAGGTTTCGAAATTGATATATTCTTGATTAGTGGCACCAAAACAATATTGAATACTAATTTGTATGGACGAGGGCAATTCAGTCAAGATTAAGTTCATTATCACAATCATTATAAAGAGTAATATTTAGTCGTTATATGATATTAAAGACTCTTGAATATGATACTTGCATCAGATTTTCATAAGGTATGTAACATATACAGTAAATCCTAAAAATATATAGTAAGTTTAATTCAATCACTCTAAATATTAACTTACTTTAACATCAGAGACCCTTTTACAAGTTCAAACCACCTAATGCCTGGAGGCCAAGGAGCTAAGGATCGAAGACTTCTTGTCTCCATTTTTTGGCAACTACATTTCACATCTCCCATAAATGTTAGATCTTTTCAGGATCAACGGTGAGGAAAGGTGCAACCCTTCTAATTTTGGAGTACGTTTTGTGCCTACTCTTAACTTCTGTAATTTTCCTAGGATTTCTAACATGTCATCTGTTCCGGCCAAAGGGTGGACTAGGGTTTTTTCCTAGATCGTGCCTTAGAGCCAGAGCATTCAAAAGTGTAATCTGTCTTCTTAACTCTAGGGTTTTGGATTTTATAGTTTCTTGTTCACGGGCCTTATGGGCCCCGTGAATATGGGGATCTCTTTAGCCGTTACAATCTGGAAAATACTTGGTGAATGAAGGTGGGACCTCGCCATTTACTGAGTGTCCAATCGGATAATGACCGAGTAAGCCTTTATGGGTGGGAGTCGATCGGTATCTGGCTCAGAGAGGGAGAGTCGGCCAAGGTTACAGTCGGGTGAGTCGGCCAAGGTTACAGTCGAGTGAGTCGGCCAAGGTTACAGTCGGGTGAGTCGGCCAAGGTTACAGTCGGGTGAGTCGGCCAAGGTTACATTCGAGTGAGATCAGGTTGTGAATCGGCCTAGGCAGTGCACAGGTTTATAGTCGGCCTCACACGCATAGTAGCCCTTATATTCGGCGATACCAATCAGCCTACAGCCGAGTCGGCGATACCAATCGGCCTACGGGCGAGACGGTCCATCATCGTTACATTTTATGTGACCATTAAAATAACAATATAATTGGATGGTGGTAATTGTAAAAGCAATCACAAAAATTTTAGGTAGGAAAAATTAAAATTTTCAAACTCTTCTCCCATACGTTGAAGACATGGAAGGTTGTGTACCAGAGAGGTCTTAGAGTGGAAATATCTGATATGTGTTGGTTACAAGCACCAGAATAATAGTTTGTATGGCCAAGAACAATTCAGCCGAGGTTAAGTCCCTCGTCGCAATTATTACAAAGAATAACATTCAGTCGATACTAACATTAAAGACTTTTGAATATGCTTCATGATTGGATCCTCAAGAGTAACATTTCTTTACAAATAAATAAGCCTACATCAAACTTTCATAAGGTACGTAACATATATATAGTAGCTCAAACACTTTGAATACTTGTTTAATTTAGCATTGAAATCCCTTTTGCAAGTACAAACCACCTAACACTTGGAGACTGAGAGTTAGAGAGTTGAAGACCAAAGACCTTCAACTAAAGACTTTTTACCTCTATTTTCGACAAGTACATTTATCGAGGATATTTTTAAGAGTTATTATTCAATGGAAACATTTTGATGAATTCTTTTAGCTTCTTATTTAAATTCAATTTTTCATTTACCGTATTTATTTACGAATTAAATTTAATATAAAAAACTATCAATAATTAAAAATAATTTTTTATCGTAATATAAATTATTTATCTTAAATGTAAATATAATTTATATGTTTAAAAATATCTATTTATATAAGTTATAAATATAATTTTATAATTTATATATTTCGTATATATTTGTACATATAATTTATTTTAAATTTCAGTTATATGTAATAAACAATTGCTTTGAAATTTACAAGCTAAAAAAACCTAATTATCATTAATTAAACTCTCCTTTCATTTTCAAATTTAAGCAATTTTTTAAAATATTTATTAAGTCCTCGAGCAATATTGGTTTAAAAGACAGTAGAATTGAAACTTATTAACACAAATGGTTTAACATATATTCATTAATCAAGGTATAAAATTTGACTCTGATTAAGACATTAAATCATAATTAAAAATATCACTTCATCTCTAAATTTTATATAGACCGACTCATTGATTTAATGAGAGAGGATTATTTATAGTCATGCTAACTATACCGTATGGTGCCGAACAGGACGAGCAATCCGAACCCATATAACTAGGATTTATTTTTGACAGTGAGCTTTTTTATTATAGCATATAAATATGCCATGAGATTTATTTTATTGCCCTTACTAAAAACATTAATTTAACATGTTAGGATTTTAGCCTAAATTAAATTTTATTCAAACCATTATTAATTCTCAAAATCACTTGCTTCTAATTAAATAAGGAACAAGAAATATATTTCTATTCAAAAATGAATTCGGTTGTTATCTGACTCTAGCACTATCCTTGGCTCCATTCCAAGTGCCCATTAGAACTAACCTTATAAATTCTGTATGACTTTTATTTACAGGATAACATTGGACCACTCCTTTCCTGAAAGTTCCCACCATTTTGTGATTTATTGTTATGAAAATACAGTGTTGTTTAATAATTTTGCTTTTAGAGAATCACATATCATCCTGTGTGATTTTTCTTTTCCTGTTTCCTTTTTCACCGAAGACCATATTTATTAACACTTTGGCTCACTCCATCAGGATCAACCTTGGTTTGTCTGTTCTTCACTGCCACCAGCAACACGTTTTCGTTGTTAGAGTTGGCTTCGTGCACAACGCTCGGTATTTTGGCCTAAATCGCGAACACAATCTCCACGATGTCGTTCTTCGCCGTAGCCAGAAACGCAGTCTCCCTTTTTATTCAGTACCAGAGAATGGGAGGTGAGCGAAAAGAGAGAACAACAAAAAATCAGAGGTGAAACAGACAGAAGAAGCAAATGGTGCTTTTCGTAGGGAGAATAGATTGTCCAGCAGTGAAGGAGAGAATGGGAGGTGTTTGCCAGAGATGCACCAGAGAGAAGAGGAAAAATGAAAATGAAAGAGTAGAGAGATGAAAAAAATAAAACATATTTAAATAAGCTAGGGACTATTATTTAAAAAGGTTAAAAATTAATGAGGGTTAAATAACAAATACAAAAACATTCTTAAAAAATATAAGTTCCGACAAAATTAACACATGTCATCGTTTATATAAAACATATTATATTTCTTTTAATCTCCTCCCGCGAAAAGAAAATTGAATTTTAGAAAATTAAGTGGCACAAGAATCCATGTTCCATACATGAAACGATCTAATAAGAAGGTAAGTCCAAGCACCAGGATCCTGATGGAGTGAGCCAAAGTGTTAATAAATATGGTCTTCGGTGAAAAGGGAAACAGGAAAAGAAAAATCACACAGGATGATATTTGATTCTCTAAAAGCAAAATTACTAAACAACACTGTATTTTCATAACAATAAATCAAAAAATGGTGGGAACTTTCAGGAAAGGAGTGGTCCAATGTTATCCTGTAAGTAAAAGTCATACAGAATTTATAAGGTTAGTTCTAATGGGCACTTGGAATGGAGCCAAGGATAGTGCTAGAGTCAGATAACAACCGAATTCATTTTTGAATAGAAATATATTTCTTGTTCCTTATTTAATTAGAAGCAAGTGATTTTGAGAATTAATAATGGTTTGAATAAAATTTAATTTAGGCTAAAAACCTAACATGTTAAATTAATGTTTTTAGTAAGTGCAATAAAATAAATCTCATGGCATATTTATATGCTATAATAAAAAAGCTCACTGTCAAAATAAATCCTAGTTATATGGATCCACAAGGAAAATAACACAAAATTTACGCATCCTTCCCCGATTGCCATGAAGCTCTCCATGTATATAGACTGAAACCAAAAATTCTATGGCATCATATCTTGCCAACTTAATATTTTGATTTGCCTTGATGCATCAAAATTTCCAATTTCAGCATAAAAATTTGAAGCTTGCAACCACACTGCAGGATCATTAAGTTACCTTTGTATTAGCATCCTTGTGAACAAAACAAAAAAGCATGAGTGTTGTACGTCTAGCCTCACTCTGGTTAATCCCATCAATAATCTTTGCTGAAAATGGTGCTAAACAAGAAACATATAAATGAGAGATACTACATTTATGCATTTCAAACCAGGTATTTACCAAATGGATCAGCTCTGGATGTTTCCAAATCTTCAATATCCACGTCAAAAGTGCCTCCAAGGCCATCAACTAATTAATGTGCAAGATCTGAGCATTAAAATTAAACTCTTAGATTAGATGAAAAAATTGATATTTCACATGGTAAACTTGTACAAGAACAACCGTTCAGGACTGGGGTAGGAGTCAACCTAGAAGCTAGAACCAGATATGAGCTTTGCATTCATCATGTGAAATGACTGTTCAAGATATATATCTTTTTGGGGGTCAAGATTTAAGATATAGATTTAAACATACAAGTTCTTACCTCGTTTTAAATCTATATATGGTGTATTTTTCATTGTCTCCCAATAGATCCTGAAGATTATCACTTCGTGATGTACTGCTAGCACTAGAACTTAGTACTCCAGAAATAGTGTAAGTGAACTCTTTGATTGCTTTTTGCTCAGTCAGTTGCTCATTTAATGAAATAAAAATAAAATAAAACAATT